AAAGGGAGAGAGAGGGAAGGAAGAGAAAGGACAAATACATCGACCCCCTTTTCGTTGTTTGTATCCTCCGTAGAATTGAAGTTATGATTGCGAGCGTGGCAAAGGATATAAATTTTAAAGCCGCGTTTCACGGAATATTGAATCCCCGTGAGAGAGCACTTATTTGAGAAATTTTTCTGTGTTTGATAAAATTTATCAGGCGATTTCAAAATTTCAAGTTTTTTACAAATTCGTTTAGTTTTTTGCTCTTGTTATTATTTTACGTGGGTTTCGTTGAAGCTATTTTGTAATTTTATTCTCTAGAGATGTTGTTTTGTATTAACTATCTATTTAATGTCTGATTTTTTTCATTAGCAATGGAAAAAGAATATTTGAATTACAAGATTACTTAAAATAGAAATTCAAGCTTATTTTTCTTTTCAAACAATAATTAATCAAACGTATATTTAGTAATAAATAGTTAGAATAATTATTTAATAGTACTTCTTTTTTAGTCACTGTAATATATTTAACGCACGCGATATTAATAACTATTATCTTATGTAATTTTAATCTATTAGATATAGTCGAACATATTTATTATCCACAATATATTTCCAGCAGTCTTTATACACGTATTTTCTACTATATTCTTACCAACAATATCTCCAATCATCAACTCTAGTACCGCATAAAATTTCCAGTAAACTATCCCCAATAACAATTTCCAATACAACGTCACCGAAAATTATAACAATCTTATCGAATCAATCTTAAAGCCCACTTATATCATATCAGAAAATCAGAAACATCCTTATTAACCATTTCATACGTACATGGCGTTCCTAGAATCGAGTTTCTTTCGAGAACTACCGTAAACAGTCCTTAGCGTGCATTACTTGGAATCAATAACAGCTAACACGACAGTCAGCTTGTCGATATAATAATGTTGACACATAAGCAACGAGAGAGGCGAAATGGGGGATCCGTATTTCGTGATCGATCTTTCGGTCACGAGAACAATTCGTTCCGTCGTGGTGGTAAATCGAAACCGCCGCTTTAATTCCTCTCACCGATGTCTTGTTGCATGCGCAGCAACGTTTTCATCGCACGATATTGTAAAAGAAAAAAAGAAAAAAAAAAGAGAGAGAGGGGGGAAAAAAAGGAAAAGTAAAAATAAAAAGGAGAGAAAGAGAAGGAAGAAGGTAGCAAGTGGTAGAAGCAATCGATAGCTGCGCCACGATAAAGCACCACCACCGACCGCCTCCATATTCCGCGGCAAATGGAAATTCTGCCGCGCGGAAATCGATATTTAATAGGCGCTGCTACAAATTGAAGCGAATCACTCGTAATCGCGATTTAATCGCGTCTAATATCTATAATACCGTTCTCGACATTGTCATTAATTCATGTGGGGTGTCAATCGGACGGTGACAATTCATGGTGTGTCTACATCATGTATAAATCATTAGATCGTTGATATATATATATATATATATATATATATATATATATTTATACAATGCCTATGTTGAAATTGATATGATAATATGCAAAAATATAAATATGCATGTTATCAAGAATTATCTATTTCTTCATTTAATTTGATTACTTCTTTGATTTTGTTATATCATTATTTAATGAATATTGAGGAGTATCATTTATGTTGTAATATGTCGTATAATGTGAAATATTTGATAGTGTTAAAATCTTTTAGAAACAATTTCATCAAATTTGAATTTATTATTTTGTTGGTACGCGTTTCACTTAATTTTATGTTTCCTCGCAAAGCAAAAATTTAAATTAACAGAATGGTCGTTTCATTACTTCGTTAAAATTGCTTCCGTATCCCGTCGCTAATGGAATTTCTCTTCAAGCAGATCGATTATTAACCATTAATAGGTCATACTTCCAGAGAGTTGATTGTGCTTCGAAATTTTCGTTTCCTCGTGTCTTTGATCACCCACTTTAACAAAGTGATTTATAAATAAAAAAATAAAAAATGAGACAAAATTTTCATTAATTTCTCGACAACAAATATATCTGATTAAATAAGAATTAACAAAATTACGATTCTTCTTATCGATTCCATGTTATATGATATAGTCTGATCATAAGCAATCGTGACAACTGATTATTTATGAGTGACCTCATGCTATTCGTTTCGAACGATTTCTTCTAAACCATTGAAATGTCCAAGTGTTGGGAATATGGCTTGCACAGTACTTCTCGATTACGCAATTGATAAATACATGGCATCGATTTTCGCCAACAAGCTATTCAGATTGATTAAGAGCTTTTATGTAGGGCAACAGTTGCGATTGCTCGAAGTATTTTCCACGTATCAAGTAATTGGTTTTTATAGAAAAAAAAGTAAATAGATGAAAAAAAATTCTATTTTTTAAGAGAAATATTCTTAACAATATTTCCTGACCAATTAAATTATCACAAAACACACGATTTATATACATTATAATATACATATAGTACATATACAGTAAAAGCACAAACACAATTTCTGTTTTTCTCTTTTTTTGATGAAATATAATAAAATTTCAATTTATAAGTTAGAAATATTTAATATTCTCAGAAGATAATAATTAATATTCATTCAGGATACTAACGATGATTAAAATTAAAAATTCTTGTTCTACATTCGTTAAATAGTTGTTAAGTGACTAATACTATACAGGATGATTCATTGTCATGTTAATATCTCTCGTTTTTTAATATAATCATATAATATGATAACAAAAAAATTAGTAGAATATGAAATACAGATAAACAACAGATAATAGTAAATCTTTTTACAATCATTTTTCGATGTTAATTTTCGATATCAATTTTATTTTTTAATGAATATTTTTTTATTTTATTATTTTTGGACAATTACCTGATATATTAATGCAAACACAAGATAAATATAATGATTCAAATATTCTCATTTTCTTCGAAAACTTCGAAGAAAATGAGAATATCCTTTATATCTCTCATTAAGAGAATATTCATTCTATCTTATATGTAGAATAAAAACTAAATACAATACGTTATTAAAATAATAACCATTAACTGGATTTATTCCAGAATTCATTTCCAACTAACAAATAACAACGAGTAAATAAAAATTGTTATAGTATTTTAATGAGGTCCAACACGCAATTTGCAATTGTCTGACCATTATCAGGTCGTAACTACTACGCGAGCTTCGTCGCTTCGTCTGATATGATCGGTCCGCAGCCACTGACAATGGCCCGGCCTCTATTCCCTGTTCTTTTCACAGCCGCATCGATGTAGGTCATGGTAACATCATATTCACGGTTTTTTTTCCCTTGCAGTGAATTGTTACCAGCTTTCCAGTCCTATTGCCATTTTCTTTTCCACCCATCCTAAAATTCTATCTTCCTTTCTCACTCTCTATCTCCTATTTACTTTTCTTCTCTTACCGCCATGTTCTTTTTTAGATTTAACTTTAATCTTTCCTTCTTGTACCCATCCTTTGTGTTTTCTTTTCATACCTTTCCCTTTGCTATCTCTTTTTTCTAGTCTGCATTCCATTTTCTTTGTCATTTACTTCACATTTCTCGTTTCTCTACTGCTTTTCGAATCGTATTTTTTTATATTCTTCTTATTTTCTTTTATATTTCTTCAGGGTATTTTATTTTTTTCTGTCTAATTTAGTTGATGAAGAAGAGATAGTTTTTCATTATGTCGCGAATTTAATTAGTTAAAAAATAAAATTATAAGAATTCAATCTTAGGTGAAAGAGAAAAATAGTAACGACAACAAATCACAATTAAAAAAAAAAAGATTATAATGAAATTTTATTTTAACACAACGTCCATCTTCTTTCTGGAAATGTTCTAATTTCCTTCTCCATTATGAAATACTCTTACTAGTAAGATTCGGATTCCTTATCATGATTTAGCATTTATTATTTCGTAGGATATTAATATCTAATATCCGAAAATACTAATTTCAAGTATCTTCTTCGTCATAATGGCAGCCAAGCTCTATTCTTCGTTAGGGGTGCAATCTGGGAAACCAATCTATGAAATTTAGGTTAAAGCTTTTTTTGAGTTCGCGAACCAAAGATCGACAAGACTTAATTTCGGATATGATACTCCTTAAAGGTCCATTGTAAGTTGGTTGAATCATCAGCCAGATCGTAGCTAAAAAAAATTATTCAATTATGTTCATAGATCCGTTGTTCGTAAAGATTGATTTCTTTTAAAGATGAGTCTAATGGTTAAAATATTATTCGTTAGTTAAAATAAGTTCGTAGTTCTTTCATTAAACACATCTGTCCATGATGTTGAAATTATTTGTACTTTGTATATTTTGTACATTTAACAGAATTCGCAAATGTTAATACCAATTTTAATCCCATTAAAAAATTTTCACTTAGTTAATATTGTTCCAAATTGTCGACTTTCCTTTCATAGAAAATATCTATTTGCTACGTGAAAGCAACTTTATAAATTAATAAAGTTACGAGTTTCGAGCACGTTGTATTGTGTCACGAACTTGTAAAATTTCCCTGTGATGGAATTTCCGAAGTTTCGTGGATGTACCAGAGGAGTTTAAAAGCTAGGTATTTATTTAGAAAATATAGCTGTAAATTGAAGTATACCCTCGTTTATAAGTCATCGTATACTTGATAAAGTTTGGATATGAAATAAATAATATTAACGTATTAATTACTTATAATATAAAGAATATATAAATTCGTATTTTTTTTAATAAATTTCATTTATTTTAAATAATATTAATAAATAAAAATTTCTTCATCAAGGATACATGGCAAATATAGGCTCCTTACTTTGAAACATTATAATAATTATTTCAATAATTTGTGAAGGCACATTCAAGAAGTTTTGAAGACGATGACTCTCAACTCAAAATCCTGAAGATCACAAAGAATCACACTAGAGACGAATTTTTAGCAATCCTCGAACATTACACCTACACTGACTATCATTCTTGATTTTCTTAAATTAATTAATTCATTTTCTCTGTTTCAGCGATCACTCGATAAGCAATCGCGTGGATCGACGGGGTCACCCAACGCACTGTGAGTGCGGCGAAGTGACAAGACCCTTATGACGACGCGAGGAAACGGCCGAGAGTGCCCTGGCCACGTCGCAATCTGACTTTTAGGCCTTGTCCCACTCACTTCCACACGTCCCGCCCTCGGCCGTTTCAACCCTCTCGAAAGTCCTCCCTTTCCATCTATCCAACTCGCCATCCTTCCATCTATCGCACCTTGTATGTAACACACCTGATCCTATCCTTCCACTAGCATCCCTCACGACCTATATATACACGTATACATGTACAAAACGACACTGTGCAAGCACCGTGCAAGAAGCGGAGCGAGCCAACAGGTATAGAGAGAGAAAAAGGAAACGATCTCTCGAAGGTGGAATTTTTATTTTTAGTATTTTTAGTATAGAAGGTTAATTTGTGCTAGAGCACACGATTCTGAGATAGTAATTCGAGGTGATGGTGATAATAATTAGATATAAATTGAACTGGAGGAAGAGGAGTTTTGTAAAATGTGCACTCGATGAAGATTAATTTTTAATTCTTTAATTTTATTGGTTTTCTTTGTTTGATTGATCCTTGTATGAGTAGTTTTTATGCGGATTTAATTTACTGTTTATTATTTTGAGAATTATTAGACTTCAATTTTCTTTTTAATTTTAAAAGTAGTTTTAGGAAGTACGTTGTTAATGATGATAGGAGTATTTGTAAGTAAAAGAGGGAATTTGATTTTGCGAGAATGGTAATGATTAAAGATAGAATAGAGTTCGTCAGTCTCATCTCAGGAACAATATAAAATAGCTTGAAGGAGTCCTAAAGTGTCTTACTTAATTTTTACTAAAGGAGAAATGTTCCTCCTTCACTTCGGATTTGAACTCAAAAGAAGGGGATTGTATACTGTTCAAATGGAATGAAAGAGAATCGTGGAATGGTTTTTAGATACATTAGTAATTAAATAAAGTTCAAATAGATTTATAATATAAATAAATTATTGAATTCTTGTTTGTAATTTTTCAATAATTTACAACAATTAGCAATTGAAAAGAAAAAATTATATAATAGAAAATTTATCCGCTATATAGAATGCCTTCTACAGATTTCCTGTTATTATTTTATCTCTATTTTTAGATATGATATATTAGAATATATATCGATGTCCAATCTTCCTTCAATTTCTCCCTCTAATGCAGAGCTAAAAAAGACAATAAAGAAAACGTACAGAAACTTTTGCATATAACTATATCACCTCAATAAGTATTAAATCAAAGCTGGAGAATATTGAATAGTCTAGGATAAAAAATAAATTTCTATTTTAGATAGTTTTTATTAAAAAAAATATTTATTTCGAGTGCCATTTTACAAGTATCCCATTTTTCGTATCTTTTGTCGTATAAAATTGTAGTGTTGTTTCAAAAAAGAATATAATTTTTTATTATTAATTTTAATATTATTTTTTTATTACTTAATTAATATTTATTATTTCAATTTTTTTTTGAATTTCAATATAAAGTAAAACAATCGATTAGTAATAAATATTAATTTAACGATCATGCAATTATTTCGCACGTTTAATCATACGAAATGAAAATTTTCGTTAATTACCAAATGAAATTCGACAATACACGTGATGCATAACAATGGATATGTTTATCGAATAAGTGCAACAACAATGAGGTTAATTTCTATTATCGATTTTGAATTTTTCTAGTTAAAAATTACATCTTTCTGTAATTAATACAGAGATATGTGTTTTTATAAAAAATAATGATAATAAATAATGTAGATAACGTTTTATCGAGAAAGGAAAAATATTGAAAACGTCGATGGATCGTTTCCTCGTAAAGAAAAAAAGAGAATAAAATCGACAAAGATAAATTATCCTGAAACTATTAAGTTAGGAGTTAGATAATGTTAAAAATGGCGATAGTTAAAATGCATAACTGCCCGGATAGTCGGACGAAAGAATAACGATCAAAAAGTTGATTGAAAATTATCATAAGATTTATTTTTTATTAGATCGGGAGAGACTGTTACCGGGCTACGGTCGATATAACTTAAAAGACCATTTTTAAGAAAGCTAAAAAACTTTTATCTTTCGCAAAACTTTGTTTCTACATCTATTTTAAATTTATATGAAATTTTATATGGAATTTTGGAATATGAAATTTCAGCAGAATAGAAGTCAGAATTGTGCATTTGAAATTTAAAAATATAATAAATAAATATAATTTTATGTAATTATAAAATTAAATTCATTATTTAATTTGCTGATTTTTAAATTTTAAAAGCTTTTCTATGTAAAAAATTTGCATAAGAAATTCTAATAGCAATTTAATTTCAAAATTATTTATGCTTATAAGAAGATTATAATAAAATATTAAAAAATCTGATAATTTATTTATTTAAAAATCATGAAAAAAATAATTTTAATTAAAAGTGCACGTTTCATTGAAACAATAAAAAGAAATAGAAAAGAAAAATGATTTGAAGTTAGAAATTACATAACAAATTATAAATATACTTACGAAATTTATGACTATTTGAAAGATTCACTATTTATGCAACAGATCTATAATTTGCTTAGGAAAAAGGGAGTACTACTTGTTGTAAAAAAATTGAAATTGGGAACTTACAAGGTAACTTCCGTAATTTAATAACTTCGAGTTTCTTGAAACTTTCGAGAAAACGTCGATAAAAGTATCAAGGAGTCTTATCTTATATGAGAAAGTAAAAAAATACATATTATCTATTAATGTTATCATAAAAAAGAAAATAATTCTTTCATTCTTTTACAAAGTTTTATATTTAGAAAGAAAAAAAAATTGTTTCATACTTTTATCAAATTTTATCAAATTTTTAAATTATAAAAATTCTTTTTTAAGAATATTGTACTTCCGGGTATCATATACTATAATTCACGCGATCATGCATGCAACTGCACAAAATGTTGTAAAAAAAAAAATGTGCATCTCAAGCTTTTAAAGATTATAATCATTTGCATATTACGAGACGGCTCTCGTCTATTCGCGTGTGGACTTCTGCCAGAAGCAAGAGAAATCGGGGAAGTTTGTGGTTCTGGTAGAAATTGTCGATACCGCAACTCTCGATAGAGAGGAAGAAAAAAAGAGATCGTAGTTTCGTTACTCATGGCAATATCGATGATGGACAGACGAATCTGAATTTTAGTAGCAGTAAAACGTTTCATCGTGATGCGCCAATTACATTATGATTTGTAATACTGTACAAGGATTTATTGCTTTGAATCCGAAAATTTGAAATTCAAAAGGTATTTCCAATGAACATAATCGAGTAATCGAAGAGATTATGGATGAATATATGTTCATGATACGTGCACATGTGAGAGTTGAAAGATGAAATTAAATTTAAAATATTTGAAGAAAATTAAAATAATACTTATAGAAAATTAAAAAAAAAAAAAGAATTCTAATTTAAACTTTTCAATTTATCATCTATCATGTACTTTCATTTATTATCTTCTTTTCCCTCATTTGTGTCGTCTTTTATTCCATTTTTAGACTTTATAATTCCTTCATTTTCTCCCATCTTTATCGAAGATCTTGGCAATCAGGAAAGTGATTTCCTGAATTATTTCGAATGAATAGAATCACGAATAAAGCCAAAAAGAATATAAAAGAACAGAAACGTTCGAGATATCGGCGATAATGAATATCGTAGAAAGATGTCGTCAAAGAGACTTATGACAGAATTGTATTAAAAAATATATTTCTCTAGATTGCAAATTTTCCTCGTGCCTGATTTAAATGTGATTTTGAATATATCGTGATAATAAGTGATAGTAACGGTCATAAATTTATAAATCTAATGCTGTACAATATATTCTGTACATTTCCTACACTCTTAACATGTTTTAAAAATGAAAAATAATATACATGTACATGTACACAGAATTAAAGTCTAACTAACTGGTAAACAGGAAAGGAAATTCTTTTTGAGAACAAAAGATAAGTTGGACGCGCGAAATGAAATTTATTCATGCGAGGCATTATTTTTAACACGTTAACATAACACGTTCCTGTTCTTGTGGATCATTAGTGCCTTAACACGTAACCATTTGTACAATATGAATTACATTTCTTTCTTTTCTCGTACAAAGATTTATGAAAAATATTAATATTTAGAAATTTACTTAAAAAATCCTTTCTATTAAATTTTTAAAAATTTTCTAATATATTTTAAATGTTAAAAATATTCCTTTGAAACGTTAAAAATTCTTCAATCTGGGCCAACTTACGTATTCATCAAGGTTGTTTCCACGACACGAATTTTTTCACGAATTCTCGACCATCTCCACGCCCCGTTTCTCGAATATGTAAATGAGTCGTTTTTGTGGACAAAAATTTCCGCACACGTCCATTGGACGCGCGTGAATTAATGCGCGGACGCGTTCAGAAAATGGCTACGCAGCCGGATTTTCGTTTTAAACCACCCATGTATCATCGTTGACGCAAAGTCGAAATTTAAACAGTGGCATGTCTCGTGTTAAGCGAGATGCTCTTTCCTCGCCAAGTTTCAAGTTGGAACGGAGCGTGACAAATTGTTCGTTACGATAGCATTTCGAATTTTGGATATCGAAAACTTCATTAATCCGCTGAAGGTACACATACAAAGATGAGAATAAATTATTATTTATTGAATTTTTATCCATTTTAAATCATTTGCACAATTCTGACTCTGATAAAACGAATGGCCACCTAGAAATTTCACATAAATTAAGTGAAAAACATTTTAAAATGGTACTTTAAATTCGTTTTCTTTTAAAATTGGTCATCGATTAGTTAATATTTCATAGTCAAGTATATTTTTCGCATGTTCCGCGAAAAATTTTAATCTAATTTATATAAATAATAAAAATTCAAATCCAATTTAAGTTCTTAAAGAATTTTATAAAAATTCTTATTGAACTTGATACTATATATAATATGTAATTATTCCGGTAAAATATTTAGAAAATTTATCAGCAAAAATAAAAATAGATATTGGATTTTTTTTGAAGGGATTCGAAAATAAAATTTTGGTCC